GGGTTGCTTCTCAGCCGGTCTTTTTTTTTTTCCCAGGTCTGGAAGCTGGTGATGTCAAGTCTCCTTTTTAACTCCTCCGCAGTACTTTGCCAGTCAGATCAAGCATGATGTCGTCTTTACCACGTAGTTTCCTCTGACAATCTATCCCTTTCTGCCCTGTCCTCCCACCGGCTGCATGTGTTAGGGAGTTGCATAGCCTTATTTGTTTTGGCAATGGATATAACTTGCAAAATTACGTTTAGGGTTTGTCTGAATGCGGAGTAGCATTAGAGCATTCGAATAAATCTGTAAACCTGTTTTTATTTATAGCACACTGAATCTTTGTTTCCAAGGTTACCAAGATTAACAAAAGGTATTCCATTCTGAGTAGCTAGTTGTATGTTCATACATTCTAATGTTTCTTGGCCAAGCTAACCTTTCAGTTAGCCACTGCTACGTGTCTTGGACATTGACTAATGAGGGACTGCCCTGGCGTTGTGGTGACGTTTTGTTTAAGAAGCTTTTATGAGTGGGTGTGTCCCTTAGCTTGTTTAGGTGCAAGGGTAGCTTGCAGGAGAACTGTGTCATCATAGAATCATAGAGTGATTAAGGTTGGAAGGGACCTTGAAGATCATCTAGTTCCAACACCCCTGCAGTGGGCAAGGGTGCCTCTCTCCCACTAGACCATGGGTGTCATCCGTGGGTATTGTCCCCAAGTCAAAGCTGTGTGGTCTGGTGTTAAGAAACATAAGATGCAGTCCCGTATCAGTCGGGATATCAAAAAAATTGGCACAGCGTTAATCTAGGAAATCTTAAGATCTAAATCTTAACATTGAGTATTTTCTCATGTAGTAATAAAGATTAAACTTATTTTTATTGCTAGTGTGTTACATGCAGCCCATCTGAAGCTAAGCTTCCAGTTCTGCTGTTCTAGCTGTAGGTTTGGTCTCTGATCTCGGGAAAGAAAGGGGAATGCTTCGGTGTCTCAACTACTAAATGCATCAAGTCCCAGATATCCTTCATCTCCCCAAATAAGACAGTAGCTGAAACTTAAGTTCTTTTGTTTAAAAACTTTTAACCCTATGTGCAGCAGCAGCTAACTTGCAAAAATGGCATTTGGAGTGAAGCAGATAAACTATGAAGCAGGGATCCGTGTTCTCACTGCAGTAGTTTTTGTATCACAGGTGCATAGGAATGGAAGCAGCCATTATTGCAGAATTATATAGTCTGGTCTAACAGTTTTGGTCCAACAGTTTTGTTGAACATCACTTCATTAGCAGTGCTGCATTCACATAATGCTGCTAGTTGAGCACTTCTGTTGGCAGTGATCATTTCTGCTCTTTTGGAGCTGTGCACGAGTCTGAAGTGGCATTGGTTTCCTGTATCATCCTTATTCCAGGAATGATGCCTTTGGTAGAGAAGATTCTGCAAAAATCAAACCCTAATTGACCTCTACCGGTATTCCTCATCTATCCTAATAGATCTTTACTGAATATTCAATTGTTTGTGCAGCAAAGTAGGCTGATTTCCTCTCTTAGCTTTACTTCATCAGGTTGCAAAACACTGGGTAACAATGTTGTGATTTATTTTTTTCTAGTGCTGTTTTCTCTCCTCTGCGCTGTCTGAGTCCATGTGAACTCTGTTAAACACAGTAACCCCATTCCCATTCCCATCTCTCTCTGACTCAAAAAGGGATGTCCACATGTTTTTGGTAGCTCCCTTATGAAACAGTGCTTTTATCTGTTGTGGTCCCATGGCCTCCATGCAATAAACATAATTTGACATTTCTCTTTATGATGTTTTTGTAAACAAGCTAACAGTCAAATAAAACCCTACTACATCTGTTGCTCTACTCTTATTTCCTGAGGCAGTTCCCAGATCAGTGAAGGAAATAAAATAAAACTGATGTGGCATGATTTGCACTTGACAGACTGGCTGTTCACTCTTCATCAATTTATTATCTTACACATATTCTTACACTGATTAATAATCTGCTCAACGTTGTTTCCCTGGACAATATAGAAGATGATTGGTTTGGATTGCAGGTACCTGGGGCGAGTAGTGTTGCTTGCTTTTTTCCCCTATCATCTCATCCCCTAGCTCAGTGAACATATGAAGATAACTGATAGGCTGAGTTCTCTTTGTGTGATTTCTGTTAAGTAACTTAGGATGGAAGAACTAAGGCTGGAATTGACATTTTGCCTGGAATCTTCAAAGTCTAGGTGTGAGATGGGATAACCTGTAATGCTATACAAAAACCAATGGAGTCATTCAGTTTAAAATTTAATGGTGGGCATTCAAGCCCTTTGGATTTTCTGGATATATGCAGCTGCTTCTCTTTTTTTAGGGCATCATATTATAAAATACGTACTGTAAGACTAACAGGGACGAGATATTTTATAGCAATAATATTTCTGGAACCTTGACTTGTATGTGCTGGCTTTGCAGGATGAGCTGGTGTGTTTTCTATGACTGCTGCAAGGGTTTTTTCTTCAGCGCTAGAATATGTCTGCAATATGTAAAATTTCTTTTTATTTTCTTCTTACAGATGATATAATTAAACTGAACAAGAAAGAAGAGAGAAAGCAATATTCCCCCAAAATTAAAAGAGGGCTTCAGCAGAATCGAACTCGACAGTTCAGAACACCAGGCTCCAAGTGGGGAATCCAACAGCAGAAAGGTGCGGATGCCAAACATAATGCAGACTGCGCAATATTTTATTTTTTGAGGTGTAATGTAACCTAATGAAATGTACAGATTGACATGGCCAATTCAGTTGTCTTTCAAATCGTGTCATGCACAGTTTTGATTATAATTCATTTCTTTGTGACCAATTTTGATTATAATTCATTTTTTTGTGACCTGTTTTTGTTTGGTTTTGTTTCTGGTTCAGTGTGAGAAAGCCGTTGACTTGATTGGCCAACGGAGAGCTTAGGTGTTTGGGGGACTCTGACTCAAGGAGGGATTTGCTTTCTTGCTGATTTTTTATTTTTTTTTATTTTAGTTTTGGAAACAGTGTCGATTCTTTGTCCTTTAAAGAGCGCTTATGCCAAAGCCTATATATTAGGAAATGTAGAGGCCTTGCCAAAGCTTAGCATTTTGTGCAGAAGAGCCAGCAGATTTGTATTTGCTAGGTAGAATTCTGAATAGGCCTTCCCAAAATAGCTGTTACTGCAAACTGTAATGCTGGCTCTGGAATATATAAATGGATAGCACAGAGTGCCTTGAGTCGGCTTTTCTTGTTAAGAACTTGGGTTGCAAAGGAAGTACTGTGTCAGCCTTCTTAAGCCAACGTTTTTGTTGTGGAATACAAAAAGGGGGAAAAAATCATATAGACGGGGAGTGAAGGGAGGAAAAGTGCACAGTAACAGCTTTGCTGTAGGTTACTGAGTAACTGTCAGGGTTTTCTTGATAAACAGGAATCTTACTCTACAATGATTTACAGGCTTTAGTCTAGTACGTGCCCAGCACCTGCTTGAAATATAGACTGGTTTTGCTTACATTTAATTTTGAAAATTACCTTTTTAACGCCAGCTGATCAAAATGTGGAAAAATACTGTTTAATCAGAAAGCCTACCACTGCAATACAAGCTAATTAGATGTTCAAGTAGATATATGCAATTTCTTGTTTAGTAGCATTTATTTAAAACAAACGCAGGCCTGTCTAGTGTATTCGTGGTGGTCCCTGTTTTATCTTTGTCTCACATAATGTGTAGCAACAGCCCATCATTAGCATCCTAGACACAAATGTCTTTGAGGATCAGTGGAATGTCACTGTTGCTCAGGGCTCAGAGTGCAGTTTTGCTTTTTACACATGGCAGTGTTACCTGTGCATCTTTACTAAACTGGTGACAGTGCAGCAGAATATTTTCCATCAGTCAGCCCAAGCGTAAGAATATTGGTGTAGGTGAAGCGTAAGTGAATTTCAGTTGTAGATGATCGAACATGTAGGCTTCTATTTGTGACCGCAGTTGTCAAATGTGATTGTTCATGATCTAAAGGGCACAAAAGAAGCAAGTATTTAGAATTTTAGAAGGAACTTGAGCTGCAAATATAAAACTAAATACAAGTGTCTTGGCAGTTACTTTTCTCTCTTGGAACCTTCCCTCCTTGCCTGCCCTTGGTCTGGGAAAAAGGAAACATTTTTTTTGCAAAATTGCCAGATTTGTGACCTGTTGAAACGTTGTGAATAGCTTTAACTGTTCCCTCCTATACAGCTCCACACATTTTCTCCCCCGAAAGCAAACCTCTCCCGAAAGCAAACCTCTCGTATTCCTTTTTTTTGAGCAGAAGTTATCATTAAATAGTTCTTTTGAGCAGTCTAGTTATTAGTAGCTTATGACCAACAGATTTATTACTGCTCCATTGCCATTGAAGTTACTCTGGTAAGTGTCAAATCCTGTATTGTTTGTGGACAGCTAAAAAACCACAAATAATAAACAACATTCGGCTCCTTGTGGATTTAGAAGTGGCTGCCAAACTCTTTGGAAAGAAATGAGAAATTTGAGCTGGGACGCTTTTCAGCTTTTGTAGTGAGAAGCAGAGAGAAGAACATTGTCCATTTAAATAAAAGTTGTCCTTGGTGATACACAGAATGCAGCTGCCTAAAACCCTGCGCAGGCTCAGCTAACTTCAAGGGTGTCATTTGATTGCGCAGAGGTTGGTCCAGAGAGCTAACAACATTCTTTTCAGCCAAAGTTTCTCAACCTTTCTGTTTGAAAAGAGAGACATTTGCTAACCATCCACATCATATGGGCAGTTTCAAATTTATCTGAGTTCTGAGTGGTGGCTTATGCCATAGGATGGCTCCTGTCTCATGAAGAAGCACAGATTTATTATCGGTGCTGTGAAGTCGGATAAGTCAAAACCAGATATGTCTGTTGCTGTAGAGCTGACTCCTTAGGCTTAAGTTTATCTTTTGGTCTGAGGTTCTAGAGGGGATGATACTTGGGGCTAAAACTGAAGCATGGTCTGTATTCATAGCATGAAACTAAATGGCTTCAGACAGGCTTGTAACTGGAGATTTGAGATGTTTGTGCTTCAGACCTCAGACTATATTCAAAGGCTCCTTTCAATTCTCAGTTTTGTTCAGACTGCCATGCAGACTCCTAATTGAAAACACTTTAAATGTGGTGTAATTCATACGCTGTTTAATATGGTTTTGTGGGCCAATTGCTATGTTCATCTTTCTTAAGTTGTGTCTTGGGAACCACTGATCTAAATAAATAAGGTTTGAAGTTGCTTCTTTAATTTAAACTGGTAATTTAAAGTTTGCTGAATGGGTAGGGAGCTGGTTTGGTTTGGTTTTACATTGTTCAGCACTTGATGAAGTTCCATTGTGGAGTTCTTTGGTAGATTTCTGTGCCAGAATGACTTGAAGTTGTCCCTTTAGATGTGTCGAAAAACAAACGTTCATCAGAAATTAATGCAGTGAACTAGGGCAAAAGTGTGATCTGTAGGAGAAGCTGATTATTGTCATGCCATGGCTTGGGCCAGACCTGCTAAAATAACTGCATGACCAAACTGTCTTTAACTGCAGTGATAGCTTCTGCTCCTAAGGCTGCAAGTGTGCAGCCAAATAACTTGTGTTGTGAGCATCTTAATAAGTTTTTTATTTCAAGAGGAATTGTTGAACTCGTCATGCTTGTTGCAGGTTATGGTAAAAATCGATTGGGACGCAGAAAGAAGATAGCAGGGAAAAAGCGTTCTTACGGAGTTATAACTGGCTTGGCAGCCAAGAAAGCAGCGAGTTCACGCAAAGGAGTTAGTCCTCTCAACAGACAGCCGCTTAGCGAGAAGGTAATTAATGCAATCCAAGTAGTTCATATAAGAACAGCTTAAAAAAGTGAAGCGCAGTGGCTGCAGATCAGTGCTACTGAAATACGAAATGGAGACTTCTGGTACAACCTTATATTAAACTGGGGATGTGTTAGCTGAGGGGATGGTTAATTACGGGTTTTGAAAGGTTTTTAATGCTTAATTGGCTTGCAAGTCATGAAAATTGAAGCACAGAAGTATATTTTGTGCAAGTATGGTGGCAGTTACTGTATTTTTACAAGGAAAGCTCACTTACTAGGATTTCTTGTTCTTTGCATTGCTTTGTAACAAACCAGTGATTCAGCCGATATGCAAGTGCCTGTTAAAATGGGAGGTTTTTTACACAAAACTCTTATCGAGTTGACTCCCTCTTCTGCGCTCCTCCAGTGCATTGTTGCGTGCTCCATCTAGTTCAGTCTTGTAGTATGGGGGTTGCTTTTGGATTTGTGAAGAAGAGTAGTTCTAAAAACGTGTGAAGCACGTATTTTGTCAGCTTGGGGAGATACAGTAATCAAAATGTAACTACTAAGCTCTGCATTTTTTGGTGGTGTTTTTTTTCTTTTTTGACCTCATAATGAAGGGAATGTAGAATTCATGAAAGTGTAGAAGGTATTTTCAAATTATATTAGACTCTGAAAGGTAGGCAAAGCCAAATGTGTGCTATATACGTTTTGTAAATAGCAATTGAAGGAAAAGTGTTTGTGTTTATAGAGTATACCTATATGATATATGTATATATATTTATTATTTTTTATTTGTTGAGAATGCACAGCGGAATTATCCGGTTTTGAAAAAGAAAACAAACCAGCAGAGACAATCTGAAATACAGAGAAAACAAGCTCCAGCCCTCAGGAGGCCTGCCCCGCTAAACAGAAGGTAAATACCAAGTCTGCTTTCTGAACGCTTGACAACTTTCCAGGGTGAGTCTTGTTTGACAGGGCTGAGTCCAAGAGAGGACAGTAGGTACTGGCCACAGTCATATGGTCAAGACTGTCATGTGTATGAAGTTCTACAAATCTGGAAGCCAAGCATGGGACAAATGTGGTCTTGATACAAAGCCAGATATTTATTACTCTGAAGAGCCCTCAGGAAGTTCCTCTGTGAGCTTCTGGAATTCTGCCTTCATTGAAATTGTAGGCAGCCTGTATGGAAATGACCAACGTGGATTTTGGTAGCTTTGAATTGACAGTCATTGTTTAGGGAACTTTCTGAATAAAATGTTTTTGTGGAAGCTGGTGCCATCTTCCGTTTCATGGATACTATTGCATGTTGTATTTGTGCTGGAATTAATGGGTCTGTTATGAACTGCATCTTAACTGGTTTCCATGAGGGAAATTTTCATGATGTGACTCTGTTGTGGAAACTGTAAACAAATCTTCTGTAAATGTGTTAAGACTGCTCCTTTTTTTCTGTCTAATCAGCAATGTTTATTGGGTGCTTCCCTGACTTTCATAGTGGTATTTCACAGTGTTATCTGTGGAACTGTTGATAACTATGTTTTAATAAATGTTACAGGAATAACATGCCGTCCACTTTTGCCAGAATTGGAAACAAACTAAATCAGCAGAAGGACACTCGTCAAGCAACTTTCCTGTTTAGAAGGGGCCTGAAGGTAATAAAAATTACCAAAAACAACAACAAAAAAGTGCCATGGATTCCAGCCTAACCTGTAACACTCCTGTTAATGAGTCAGCTTCAAAGGTCTGAGTAGAAAATCCAAGTGTGCTGGGAAAAAGGCATGGATTCTTGTAGG